CAAATATGTACTTCAGTACTTTTCCATCACACAGGGTTTCTCCAAGCTCCTCCGTGCATATCACAGGACTTCTTATCAGTCAAGTGAGGTCTTAATTTGTTGGGAGTACACATTTTTACAGTCCACTGCAATAATGACACTTCTCATACACAAAGAGCGTGAACCTAGCACTACTTTCGATTTCTAAGGCTATATAAAACAATCTATTCATACTAAGATTATATAATGATATAAAACAGAAAAGATATAAAACCGTAATTTACAATCTATCAATACAAAAGCTGTGGAGCATCCAGCTCTGGTGAGGTGGATAATTTGCCTTCATCTCTGCTCCCAGAACACACTCCCACAACACAAACACACACCTTCTGGATGACAATTCATTTCCCTCTTACCGTTGTCTGGTAACATTCTGGCCATTGGTCTACCTCTCTAACTTCAAAGATACATATGCCCTATATAAACACTGTCAATAAAGCCTGTAGAATCAGGTAAAGAGATTCTCCGGCACTTTTGTATTATTTTGAGCCAGTAGTTCTGAAAGTAGCGCTTACAAGCCAAAAGTGGTTCTCTCTCTCGCTCTGCTGTGTGTGCATCTTGCTAGCTGTCACACAAATGGCGAGGGGCTTAAGCTCATTGGCTGAAACTCAAATTGCTAGGGGGCTGACCAACGTGGGGGGAAATGTAGGGGAAATGGCGCCGCACAGCTTCCTGTAAACAGTCGCTTTCAAACTAGGGATTTCGTGGCTAATTAAGATAAAACTATAATTCTGATCATAGATTATGCATGTATGAACTACAGATTGACACATCCAGCCCAAAGTGGCAGGGTTCAAAAATACTTACTAGTTGCCAAAGTTCCGGAGCATGTCTTTAAGTATTAAACAACATAAAAGCATCAATGCAAACAGTTGTTTGTTTTCCCCAAAAAAATGCCTACCCCAGCACACAGAATGTCAGAAGTCCCTTTTGTCAGTTATTTTCCAGTTCAGGTGGAACAGAAAAACAACAGCCGTCATCAGTGAGTATTTTGTTCTCTCTGTTAGATGTATAAAACCTTTTATTCTGTCAAGTCACTTACTGTACACCTCATTGAATATGGATGAGAGAGATCAAACCCAAAGAAAGGACTCCTATATGTTTTAATCATAAACAAGGCCATCAACACAACAATTTGAAAGCCCTCCATTCTATGCATATTTGCTGCTATTACAGAATAATATATCCTCAATTTTCATCAAAGACCTTGCTGCTATTGTACAACAAACCGATGTCTGTCTGAAAGCTTTGAAGTAGATCTCAATGCTGGACTGTTTTGGTCTAGTCTGTATGGTGCGTTGCTATGCTCACTGTGTGTATGTATGTGTTTGTGTGTGTGTGTGTGTTTATTTGTTTGTGAAACCTTTCTGCCGTCAGTCACACATACACTCACATACACACACACACACACACACACACACACACCATGCCCTTTGTCTGCTCATTTGTGGCTACCATGGTGACAGTAAACATGGCTACCTTTCTTTCCCCTCTCCCCCTCCTCCCCTGTCAGCTGTTGTTCAGCTGTTGTCACCCTGCATATATTAAACCAGACAGACTGGAAAGGTTTCCCCTAATCACATATCAGAGTTTGACTGTTAATCTATCAATCGGAGGGGACAGCAATTTGTTTAAACAATTAAAAGACTGAGGAGAGGAGAGCAGAGGAGAGGAGACGAGAGGAGCCTGTTTGGAATAGGTAGAGGATATAGGGTTTTGTGATTTGCTAAATATTGCAAACCCATCCTTTAGTCCATTACCTCTGCCCAAAACCCACAGTATCTGTGTGTTATGACATTCCAACTCCTCTGTACAGAGTTGATCTACATAAGAGCCTGAAGCCTCTTATACATATGTACTGTATCTCTTTACCCAGGAAAGCACTGTAGTATCATAGTGTACGTGTGCCCGGAGTTCTCTGTACACAGGATTAAAGATTAATCAGACACTTATGCACTCTGAAATATTTACCCTGGCAGAGCTGTGTGTGTGTGTTTTTGTGTGTTTGGTTTTACTATCCTTGTGGGGACCAGAAGTCCTCACAAGGATAGTAAAACAAGGACAATTTGGATAAGTGGGGAAATTCACTGGTCCCCACAAGGAAAAGGGCTATTTTAGGCTGAGGGGTTAGCGTTACAATTAGGTTTAGGGTTTGGGGTTAGGCTAGGGTTAAGGTTAGGGTTAGGTTAAGGATTAGGGTTAAGGGAAAATAGGATTTTGAATGGGAATCAATTGTTTGGTCCCCACAATGATAGTAAAACAAATGTGTGTGTGTGTGTGTGTGTGTGTGTGTGTGTGTGTGTGTGTGAGGGCATGCTTGTGTTTTTCTTTGAAAAGTGGAAAACAGAACGGAACAAGCAGATTAGGAGGATTGTAGCCTTGATAACGGTATCAGACAGTACCATACTTAACCCTAAACTCAATCAAGCCAGTGGTCCTGAACTGGGATCTAAACTCAATCAACCCTACGATCCTGATCTGTGGCCAAAATATTCATTTTATGGAGCGTGGTGATGGACAAGTGAGATTCAGAGGGAAAGTCTCCCTGACCCTTATACTCAACCCTCCCCGCTCTGCCTCCCTCTGCCTGTGGTTACACTATAGCTGTTCACCCCCATTTGATGTTTTCACTTAAGGATGAGTTGTCTGCTGCCTGGAGTGCTTAATGATGGAGTGACCGGTGCCTCAGACTCAAAGGCTCCACGCTCTAGTGAGTGAGTGAAAAAGATAGATAGTTCATCATGCTACTCAGTGGACAGAATACACTATTGATTGCCACTCAGCACAACAATAGTATGGCTACTACAGTTACAACAACATGATGTTAAGATAGATACTACAGATCACAGACAGACAGACAGACTGACTGACTGGCCATGTCCGAATACCCATACTAGCTTACTACATACTTAAACTGCATACTATGTACTCATCGTCGCATACTATTTAGCACGTACCATTTAGTAAAAAGTATGCAGTATGCCACGGCCACAACGCAGTAGCAGCTCCTGACTGGCTGAGTAGGGGAGGCGGGCCGAGTGCGGGTGGATTTTTCCAAATTCAACAGACATGCATCGCATTAACCAACCTGATAATAATTTCCAATTTGGTTAATTTCTCTGAACTCTGAATAGAATAGGAATGGAGTTCTAGGCCTACTCAGGCTGGTTATAGGCAGATTATTACATTCAACCTATACCGTAGCCCATCTAGCCCATCTATCCTGTTTAAAAAGGACTGAAGACAAAAACAGATTCGGTTCAATTTCAACATGTTTATTAGTGAAACCAAAGTGCTGTAACAAAAAAAAGACTTCTGTTCTCAAAGTTGTGATCATTTTAATGAGAACAAAAATTACTTAGCCTACATTTGAACACCAACGCAGAAGCTCCGCTATTCAGCAACTTCCCAATTAATTAGCCTAGTTTTGTTGTTTGGCTACTTGAAGAGAACAAAAATCGATAACTTGCAACGCACCTTTTCCAATGCATTGTGGAAAAGGGTGCATCGAATTCTACTAGATGAAGAGCCGAAATGAGTATAACATCCTGGCGTTTAAACCAAATTCACATACTCTATTTTTCGCATACTGAGAATGCGTCATGCGCGATTGCGTTTCCCGTTATTCATGATTTTGGTAGCGCGTCCCCATATCTAAGTGATCAGCTCTTGTTAAAGCCAAAAATAGTATGATATCTGGGCATTTAAAGTATACTCGATTTTCGCAGACAGGGATCATCAGTGCCTAACCCAGTGGGGATGTGGGATCAACTAAATTAAACGGGCAGGGAACACAATATACCGTTAGGCAGACAAGCAGTGTGTCAAAAGAGATGACTCGTCTTGCTCCTCTGTAGGGGAAACTTAAGTTTGAGGTAGAAGGAACTTCTAAATAGAGTCCGCTCTTTGCATCATGGGCTAAACCGTTTTAGGTAGGGCTTTGATCCCTGGCCGTGATTGAGACTTTAGCGATGCGATTGAATTAATTACTTTGGAATCTCATCCTGTGTGTCTGTCGGCTGCCAACGCCAAGCCATGTGTGTGAGGGGTTTGTGTGTGTGTGTGTGTGTTTGTGGCTGTGTGTGTGTATGTCCTGTGCTGTCTCAAACACTACAGGAATGTAAGCGTGTGGTGCTGTTGGTGGTAGCAGCAGGGGTGGGTGTTTAGCAACATGTTAATGCAGCAGTAAAAAAAATCAATGGCAAGACAAGAGAGGGCTGAGAGGGTGACAGACAGGGAGAGGGAAAGGTAGAAGACAGTGAGAAATATATATAGGTAGTGTTTGAGAGAGAGAAAGAGGAGAGAGAGAGAGAGAAAGAGAGAGAGAATTCAGAGAATTCAGAGAATGAAAGATGGAAATGAAGAGACAGAATGGCGTGATGGAGAGAGAGAGAGAGATCACCTTTTGATTCACCAATATCCCCCCCAGACACACACAATGCATGGAGGCAAATCTCCTAATCTTCATCCTGACATCTGTATCATTAAACTAAGTTGGGTTCCCGGTCCCCCTGGAGGCTACAGAGGGAGGGGAGAAGGATAAGTCATGTTGAAGAGTTGTATTCTAGACAGGGAGACAGTGTTGAGACAGATGGGCATGGGAGAGCGTGCTGACAGTAGAGATGGGAAGAATGCATGGTTCCAGCGTGCATTTAGTCCAGACACAATCATACTAACACAATACTCTCAGACACACACTGATAAACACACTGTCAGATACATATGGTGTGGCAATCAGGCGCACAGTTTTTGGCCAGTGGAGATTAAGCAGATTTAATTAATCTAATTATGGATGGCCTTGCTTACATCAGATCTGATTATATTATGACAGGGATATCTCTCTCATTACTGCTCTGGTGTAATGCAGAAAAGGCTCTCTGTCTGAGTAGGGGTGTGTGTTATGCCAACTCTGTAGTCCTCTTCTCATCCACCCTCTCCCTTGTTTCTCATCCCTCTCTGAGTGTTGCTGTGAAGAATGCCTCAGTGCCCTGTCAGAGGGTGGAGGTGGAGAGGGGGTAAGTAGCGTGGGCAGAGATACTCTAGTGGACAGGGCACCTGTTTGGCACAGGGCATACAACTCTCTGCCAGAGGGGAATGCCAGCCCTGGGAATTTGGATGTGTCTGGCCTTTTGGGTGTTGAAATAGCTTTCTGCTATTCTGTGTGCTCGTTCGTTGGAGTGTGTGTGTGTTTGTGTGTGTTATCTACAGGGAGTGTAGAAGAAGCTGTTTGAGTGTAGGACAGTTCTGTAGACACCAGCTGGTGACAGGAAGGGAGACACTCCAGCCCTGCTCCTGTGCAGATGGCTTACTGGCCAACACACACACACACACACACACACACACACAAACACACACACACTGTTAGACAGTGACTCTGATGTAGTACTGTACATTGTGTTCCTGTGTGTGTGTTTGCGTGTGTCTGTTCTGCCCATCCCACTTTAAGAGCCCCAATGATGCCTCTGAACAGACTGGGGGATTAGATTAGCATAGACTATAAAGATATTGTTGCATATCTGTCTGTGTGTGTGGGTGTGGTCATGCACATGTGGTCTTGAACACGTCTTTGTATGTGTATGTGTTGTGGTATATGTCTTATACCACGGCATTGTTGCATACTCGATTCTGATTGGCTAGAAGGGCATTCTAGAGTGGGGATGTGGTGCGTAATGCGCATGAATTTCTCCGGTCTGTCAATGTTGCAGTCATGATGCAAATGGTGCTATGCTGTCATCCTCCCACATGTTTCTCGTTTGACCAGCTGTTTTCAGCTACTCGTATTGTTGATTCAGTTGTCATATTGGCAGATTTGCTAGCAACAAACTATTTAGCTAGCTTCTAGTCTAGTGTTTGATATGCAATGCGATATCCTCTACGGTAATGAACAGTGTCCTAACGAGACAGCAACTTTTCTATGCCAGATGAAATCAGGCATCATCAGCTCCTTCTTATGGATGTATCCAAATAAATGTCACTAGAAAACAGCTTAAACAAACACAAATGCAGCTACTTTACTGTTATTCTGGCTGCACTGTTTGACGTGACTGTGTTATGACACGTTCTCCATTATTTCCAAGATAATGTACAGAGCGTCTATCTCTTACGTGTACCTCAGTATGTGTGGTCCTGCCAGTACACACAATGCTAGAAACCATCTCTGCAGTAATTTGCTCCTCCATCCTCAGGGGCTGAAGGAGTGGCTGTGACAGATGTGTTTGTGTCTGCTATTATACTGCAGGCTCCTTGACCACTAATGACTATCCCTTTCTCACCAGCTCAGACACACCTCTGCTCTTCAATCTGGGGAAAGAGTCTATACTGCACACATACATCTGATGAAATCTACTCAGATGTACACTGAGTGTACAAAACATTATGAACACCTTCCTAATATTGAGTTGCACCCCCTTTTGCCCTCAGAACAGCCTCAATTAGTCGGGGCATGGACTCTACAAGATGTCGAAAACATTCCACAGGGATGCTGGCCCAATGTTTCCCACAGTTGTGTCAAGTTAGCTGGATGTCCTTTGGGTGGCGGACCATTCTTGATACACACGGGAAACGGTTGAGCGTGAAAAACCCAGCAGCGTTGCAGTTCTTGACAAACTCAAACCAGTGCGCCTGGCACCTACTACCATACCCTGTTCAAAGGCACTTAAATATTTTGTCTTGCCCATTCACCTTCTGAATGGCACACATACACAATCCATGTCTCAATTGTCTCAAGGCTTAAAAATCCTTCTTTAACCTGTCTCCTCCCCTTCATCTACACTGATTGATGTGTATTTAACAGGTGATATCAGTAAGGGATCATAGCTTTCACCTGGATTCACCTGGTTAGTCTATGTCATGGAACGAGCACGTGTTCCTAATGTTCTGTACACTCAGCGTATAGTATAGTAAATTAATGAAGTCATAGAACTGAACCAGGGCTGTAAACAAGCATCCTTAAAGGGGCAATATGCAGTTGCTACATCCATTTTTGGACTCCATTAATGATATGTAACCATTGTTTCTTGAAAAATATAACTTAGAAATGCCTCATGAGCTTAGGTCAACTGTCATATCCCTTAAGAACCCAAAATATAAGCTTGTTTTACTCCAATGTTTGTAAACAAAGTAAATGAAAACATTTTAGTATTTTAGCAGAGGCTCTTATCCAGAGTGACTTACAGTAGTGAGTGCATACATTTTCATACTGGTTCCCCATGGGACCCGAACCCACAACCTTGGCGTGCTCTACCAACTGAGCCACACTGGACTAAACAGACACTATATAGCTTCATAACATGTTTAAATATATAATTTTGATAGCCTGGATGGTCAGTCCTTGCATCCATAGCTCTGTTTTTGAACTTGAAAGTGGATGCATTTCTCCAGCCCCATTCCTCAGCTTTTTACCGAAACAGTGGAGTACGCTTTGTTATTGTTTCAACTGCTGATTCCCCCTTTAACATAGAATTTACTTCCAAGATCTAATTCACAATGAACACAATCCATTTGACAGTGGTTGAATATCGATCACCTTTCCCAGTGGAGGGGAAGTGATGGGATGCAAATGGAAATTATATTGATTCCAGCTCATCACATTAGTGGGGTGTACAAGTACGCTGCAAGTCTTTGCATGTTTATACATTCATACATTACTACAGACGATGATCCTTTTGAAAATCATTCCCAAGGATGATTATTATGATATACTGTAAGAACTAAAGGTAATACTATGTCATCACCATTAGACTATGGTCATGGACATCACTAAGGCTAGTAATGGAGGTTGTGTGTAAGGCCTGTGTCACCTCTAAGGTGATTTTAAAGGCTATATGTCAGGCTTTTGTCACCTCTAAGGTGATAGTAAATGCTGTATGTCAGGCTTATGTCATGATGAAATCTTCTCTCATTGTGTTTGTTTCCAGCTTGATAACCCAGACGAGCAGGCTGCACAGATCAGGAGAGAGCTGGACGGACGACTGCAGATGGCTGATCAGATCGCCAGGGTAAGACACCACCACCTCAAAGTAAAGTAGAGAATTAGACATCTTAAATCACCTCACCAGAGCTGAAACAGATACTGTAGAAGACAGTAGCCCTAAGGCCTATACACTAAGTAGTAGAGGTACTGCAGTATGTGTGTGCTCTGAACCCTAGGCCCTCACATGAGCAAAACAGCCTCAATAATGTAAAAGCAGAGGGAGACTCAGGGCAGGAGTACGCATGAATAAACATCCTCTTTAAAAAGACTGTACACTTTATGGTTGTAGACTTCACCATGGACTTGTCTATGCGTGTGTGCGTCCTTGTGTGTATGCCTGCGTGCGTCTGTCTAACAGGGTGGCAAGTTTCCCAAGTTTGTTTCCAAAGAGATGGAGGCCATGTTCATAGAGGAGCTGAGATCTTCAGTGAACTTGCTGATGGCTAACCTGGAGAGCATGCCCGTGTCCAAAGGAGGAGAGTTCAAACTGCAGAAGCTCAAACGCGGACATAACACCTCCATCATAGACATGGGCCAGGAGGATGAGAACACGCTGTCCAAGTCTGATGTGGTGCTCTCCTTCACTCTGGAGGTATGGTTGGTTTACACTGCAGCTCACACAGCCTGCCAGAGACACTGCCTCCAGTGGTCATATGCAGAAGTGTACTATTGAAGTTACCCTAACTATTTCAATTCAGGCTACATGGAAAATAAAATTCAAGGCAACATTGCTTCCACAATGCCAGCAGATATTGTGACACTTACTTTAGAGACAACAGAGACACTGAGAGGGAAAGTAAGAGAGAGATATAGACTGAATGACAGAGGTGGAAACATATACACATTACACAGTGAAAGAGAGAGAGCTAGGGAAAGAGATAGAGATCCAGGGAAAGAGAAAGAGGGAGATAGATAGATAGATAGATAGATAGATAGATAGATAGATAGATAGATAGATAGATAGATAGATAGATAGATAGATAGATAGATAGATAGATAGATAGATAGATAGATAGATAGATAGATAGATAGATAGATAGATAGATAGATAGATAGATAGGGTATTGTATGTAGATCGAATTAATCAATTTTGAATTCAGGCTGTAACACAATAAAATGTGGACTACTATAAGTCAAGGGGTATGAATACTTTCTGAAGGCACTGTAGGCTCTGATGATTAATGTCCTATGGGACTTAGTCCCTCCCCTCTCATATACCTCAGAAATGTTTGTAGCAGCAGTCGTAATGTTTTACACTCCCTATTCTGCTAGTCTCAGGGGACATGGCTGTAGATCAGAGAGGCTGAGCTGATCTGGGCAGCCCATGTCTGTGAAAAACCAAGGCATTGGTTAAATGACATTCTGTGTTCATGTTTGTGTCTGAAACTAGTTTGTAGCAGCAGATATGTGTTGGAAATAAGTGACAAGTATAGGTGTTTGATCGGCTTTTCTCTATCTCAGGTGGTGATAGTGGAGGTTCAGGGGTTAAAGTCATTGGCGCCCAATCGGATCGTCTACTGCACCATGGAGGTGGAGGGGGGGCATAAGCTCCAGACTGACCAGGCCGAGGCCTCCAAACCAACGTGAGTGTGACACACACGCATGCACGTATGCTGTGCACTTACATGATATTACAGCCTTATTTAGGAATAAATACCTTGTAACTGGGTAAGAAGTTCAGTGCATTCTAATTGTTTTTACCTAAACAAACTCATGTTAGCTAATCAGGTTAGGAACTACATAACTGCATTTAGATTTATCACAGTCTGTCATGTGCAAGGCCTCAGCGACGTAAAACGTGACCTGGTGATATGTAAGTGAATTTGCTCCCAACTCACTCTCACACTACTTCCTGTTTACATACATATGGCTACATCATGGATACTTCCTATGATGTAAAACCCCGAAGCCCCTGACTGCTGCTATTTACTCAGTCCTACTCTGAGTAGCACCTGATACAGATTGTGTTAATATGAGCAGTCAGTCCTGAGTCCTTGTTAGGTGGTCTGTAGGGTGGGCTCATGTTCTGGCTGTATCTGCACAGCATGATGTGGTAATGATATTGCCTGTGAGAGTGTGATCAGGGCACACATAACAAGGTTGTAGACGCTGAGCCGCATTGATTACCCAACATGCACCTTGCGCCACTGGTTGTGTTCTCTAGCAGGTGACTGAGGTGGGACGTGTGGATGTGTTGAGACATTTGTTTTGCTTTAATTAAAGGATACTCACACATGTACAGTGAGGGAAAAAAGTATTTGATCCCCTGCTGATTTTGTAAGTTTGCCCACTGACAAAGACATGATCAGTCTATCATTTTAATGGTAGGTTTATTTGAACAGTGAGAGACAGAATAACAACAAAAAAATCCAGAAAAACACATGTCAAAAATGTTATAAATTGATTTGCATTTTAATAAGGGAAATAAGTATTTGACCCCCTCTGCAAAACATGACTTAGTACTTGGTGGCAAAACCCTTGTTGGCAATCACAGAGGTCAGACGTTTCTTGTAGTTGGCCACCAGGTTTGCACACATCTCAGGAGGGATTTTGTCCCACTCCTCTTTGCAGATCTTCTCCAAGTCATTAATGTTTCGAGGCTGACGTTTGGCAACTCGAACCTTCATCTCCCTCCACATATTTTCCATGGGATTAAGGTCTGGAGACTGGCTAGGCCACTCCAGGACCTTAATGTGCTTCTTCTTGAGCCACTCCTTTGTTGCCTTGGCCGTGTGTTTTGGGTCATTGTCATGCTGGAATACCCATCTACAACCCAGGAGGTTCTTGGGAGGTTCTACCCAAGATTTGACGGTACATGGCCCCGTCCATCGTCCCTTTGATGCGGTGAAGTTGTCCTGTCCCCTTAGCAGAAAAAAAACCCCAAAGCATAATGTTTCCACCTCCATGTTTGACGGTGGGGGGGGTGTTCTTGGGGTCATAGGCAGCATTCCTCCTCCTCCAAACACGGCGAGTTGAGTTGATGCCAAAGAGCTCAATTTTGGTCTCATCTGACCACAACACTTTCACGCAGTTCTCCTCTGAATCATTCAGATGTTCATTGGCAAACTTCAGACGGGCCTGTATATGTGCTTTCTTGAGCAGGGGGACCTTGCGGGCGCTGCAGGATTTCAGTCCTTCACGGCGTAGTGTGTTACCAATTGTTTTCTTGGTGACTATGGTCCCAGCTGCCTTGAGATCATTGACAAGATCCTCCTGTGTAGTTCTGGGCTGATTCCTCACCGTTCTCATGATCATTGCAACTCCACGAGGTGAGATCTTGCATGGAGCCCCAGGACGAGGGAGATTGACAGTTCTTTTGTTTTTCTTCCATTTGTGAATAATCGCAACAACTGTTGTCACCTTCTCACCAAGCTGCTTGGCGATAGTCTTGTAGCCCATTCCAGCCTTGTGTAGGTCTACAATCTTGTCCCTGACATCCTTGGAGAGCTCTTTGGTCTTGGCCATGGTGGAGAGTTTGGAATCTGATAGATTGATTGCTTCTGTGGACAGGTTTCTTTTATACAGGTAACAAGCTGAGATTAGGAGCACTCCCTTTAAGAGTGTGCTCCTAATCTCAGCTCGTTACCTGTATAAAAGACACCTGGGAGACAGAAATCTTTCTGATTGAGAGGGGGTCAAATACTTATTTCCCTCATTAAAATACAAATCAATTTATAACATTTGGATTTTTTTGTTGTTATTCTGTCTCTCGCTGTTCAAATAAACCTACCATTAAAATTATAGACTGATCATTTCTTTTTCAGTTGGAAAAACGTACAAAATCAGCAGGGGATCAAATACTTTTTTTCCCTCACTTTATATACAGTATCAGAGATGAGTAAGTAATTCATAATCCTTACCTTTTCCTGATATAGATGATGAATATTTCCTCATATATAATGCAAGGCTCATCACCACTCTTCCCTCCTCCTCCTCCTCCTCCCCCTTCTCTCTGCCGTCCTCTCCAGGGTTTTTCTGGATCAAAAAGGGGCTTAGGTAGTGGGTGTGGCAGGGGGCATGGCAAAGAGCGCGGTCGGGTGCGTCAAACTTTTAAGCTAATTCCCTGCAATTCTACACATTTCTCCATGGAGCTGAGAGAAATTATTGCGGTTTTGCAGCTGATTTCCTGCAATTCTACACATTTTGCCATGCAGCTGAAAGAAAATGTTGCAGTTTTAAAGCTACTTTCCTGCAATTCTATGCATTTTGCCATGGCGTATGCTGTATTATTTTGCTCAAAGATAATAACAAAATTTAAACTAAAAATGACTGTCTAGCTTTTATTTTGGTGACCAGAAGTCCTCACAAGGATAGTAAAACAACGAAAATGTGGACAAGTAGGGACATTTCACCGATCCCCACAAGGAAAAGGGCTATTTCAGGCTTATGGGTTAGGGTTAGGGTTACAATTAGGCTTAGGGTTAGATTTAAGGTTAGGGTTAGGAGTTAGGTTTAGTTTTAGGGTTAGGGATTTGGGGTTACGGTTAGGGTCAGGGTTAGGGTTAGGTAAAATAGGATTTTAAATGGGAATACATTTTTGGGTCCCCACAAGCATAGTAAAACAAACGTGTGTGTGTGTGTGTGTGTGTGTGTGTGTGTGTGTGTGTGTGTGTGTGTGTGTGTGTGTGTGTGTGTGTGTGTGTGTGTGTGTGTGAAAGAGAAAGAGAAAGAGAAGGGGCTATTTTAGGCCCTGCTTCCTCACAGTGAAAGGCTCAGATGGGATCTGTGAGTGGATCAGTGGAAAGTTTAGTTCAACCTCAATTGTTCCTGAAACAGAGTAGAGTTTATTTGTGCTAGATACAGTATCTCGGTCAGACAGCCATGGATAACAGAACTCTGAGGACATTTATAAAGGGATCCATTCCTTCTCTTCCATGATTCACAGATGACCAGTCTGCTGGAACTTTGCATAGGAATGAATGTTATCTGAGAGTTGACCACTTCCCTCCTATGGTAAACAGAAGGCCTGGTTCACCTTAGCCAGACACACAGTAAACAGAGCCTACCTGTTGGGAGTGCATATATCTATTATTAGGGCCCTATAAAATCCGCGTTGCTGAAAACGCGGACGGAATCACGGAATCCAGACATTAAAATGGAATTCAACAATATTCAAAAATATTGTAGGAAATCAGCTTAAAGTATTGAACTTATTAGAAAATGCATTAATTTGCCCAAGTTAATCATAAGACATGAACAAAATGCATGGCACAGGAATGCCCCTGTCTGTGTGTGTTGTGTGCGGTGTGCGCATAGCCACAGGAAGTAGGGGTGCTGAGGGTGCTGCAGCACCCCCTAAAACATCTGAATAAATAAATAATAATATTTTATATATACAGTACCAGTCAAAATTTAGACACACCTAATCATTCAAGGGTTTTTCTTTATTTTGACTATTTTCTACATTGTAGAATAATAGTGAAGACATCAAAACTATGAAATAACACATATGGAATCATGTAGTAACCAAAAAAGTGTTAAACAAATTCTTCAAAGTAGCCACCCTTTGCCTTGATGACAGCTTTTCACACTCTTGGCATTCTGTCAACCAGCTTCATGAGGTAGTCACCTGGAATGCATTTCAATTAACAGGTGTGCCTTTTTAAAAGTTAATTTGTGGAATTTCTTTCCTTCTAAATGCGTTTGAGCAAGTCAGTTGAGTTGTGACAAGGTAGGGGTGGTATACAGAAGATAGCCCTATTTGGTAAAATACCAACTCCATATTATGGCAAGAACAGCTCAAATAAGCAAAGAGAAACGACAGTCCATCATTACTTTAAGACATGAATGTCAGTCAATGTGGAACATTTCAAGAACTTTGAAGGTTTCTTCAAGTGCAGTCGCAAAAACCATCAAGCGCTGTGATGAAACTGGCTCTCATGAGGACCGCCACAGGAAAGGAAGACGCAGAGTTACTTCTGCAGCAGAGGATAAGTTCATTAGAGTTACCAGCCTCAGAAATTGCAGCCCAAATAAATGCTTAACAGAGTTCAAGTAACAGACACATCTCAACATCAGCTGTTCAGAGGAGACTGCGTGAATTAGGCCTTCATGGTCAAATTGCTGCAATGAACCACTACTAAAGGACACCAATAAGAAGATGAGACTTGCTTGGGCCAAGAAACACGAGCAATGGACATTAGACCAGTGGAAATCTGTCCTTGGTCTGATGAGTCCAAATTTGAGATTTTTGGTTCCAAACGCCATGTCTTTGTGAGACGCAGAGTAGGTGAACGGATGATCTCTGCATGTGTGGTTCCAACCATGAAGCATGGAGGAGGAAGTGTGATGGTGTGGGGGTGCTTTGCTGGTGACACTGTCGGTGATTTATTTAGAATTCAAGGCACACTTAACCAGCATAGCTACCACAGCATTCTGTAGCGATACGCCATCCCGTCTGGTTTGCGCTTAGTGGGACTATCATTTGTTTTTCAACAGGACAATGACCCAACACACCTCCAGGCTGTGTAAGGGCTATTTGACCAAGAAGGAGAGTGATGGAGTGCTGCATCAGATGACCTGGCCTCCACAATCACCCGACCTCAACCCAACTGAGATGGTTTGGGATGAGTTGGACCGCA